TGGTACAACCAGAGCCAATATGGTCTAAGTAAGCTGAGCTATCTTCCTATCGCCTAGACAGTTTAGGCCTGAGTGGCCTGGTCATGGGTTAACTGGGCAGCTTGGCGTGGATATGAGCAGTTTGGGCCGTGTTGGCTGGGCTGACTGGTGGGCCGTCACTACCTTTGCCGAGCTCTGCTGCCCATCATGAGCGTTTACACTTGCCACATTCAGCTGCGTGAGCTGGGCTGCGTGGCCATAGTCTGTGGCCTGGCTGGCCCGGCCCAGGCCCAGCTGGCCTGACCTGGGCCTTGGTGTCCACACCAAGGGCTTGCAGGACCTGGGCCTGCTGTGAAGAATTAAGCCACAACAATCACTGAATCATCAGCGAAAATCTCGTCAATCTGATTCGCGTATCATTGTTACTAAAGTATCTAAACGATTTTTGAATCCGTCGAGTAAATTATCTCCGATTGATCGACGAACAGGCCGTTGTCAGGAAAAGAATAATTTAACAGGAGATGAGTCGCCAGCTCCTGAGAACATAACAGATGTGATTAAAAGCCTCCTTTTGCTGCACGGACCTCAGGATGAAGGTCCCTCACATGCGTATCAGGTGACAGCTGCCAGAGACTCAAGAAAAGTTGAAAATTTTACTCAGAAAAAGTTGTCATCATGCTAACCTAAGTGACAGGTCAATATACTCAGAAAATTGTTTACTCGATATTTGGAGGAGCTTTTAGGAAGAAAACCTCTAATCAGATTTACAGTCTTAATGAGAATGAGGTTAATTAGATTAAATAAAGATTAAAATTACTTTATTTGTTTATTAACACTATTAGAAAACTTCTTAACCCTTAATTTTAGTCAAGTAGTACCAGTCCTATGTTTGGTGAAAATGATTAATCTGAATTTCAATGCTATAATGTAGATCAATCATTTCAACATATGAAGGAACAAGTGCAAGTTGCTGAGGGTTTCAATAGAAAAAGGGAGCTTTTCCTAATTCTTATAATGCTAATCACAGGAATAATTTTTCGTGGAGAGACCCAAATAATGTTAAAAATTAAGAAGCTCTTAGACTTAATTAAAACTTTTGAAGATCTATAACCAAACTTGGTGCTATAGAAATGATGTAGTAAATGAGCCAAATGATGTAACAAGTTATGAATCAAATAATCTTGCAGCATATATGTTTAACATATATGTTTTAGAAGAAAATAATTCATTTTTTATTATTATTGCAACTGATGTGATTGATGAACCGAAAAAGAATGATTACATGTACTTCAAAAGAATAAGAACGTTATTGACTGAAAAATGGATGATCTTTGTGGCATTGATATGTGTGTATCCACACAAATATGATTTACTAACAGTTAGAGGGATTGAATTAATTATAAAAAAGTAAATTCAGTTACTACAAAAGATCCTTTTCCTCTTTTATTTACTGACCAATTTTGAGAAAAAGTTGCTGGGAAAAACTTTTGTTCTCAATGGATACTCTAGTTATAATGAAATTTATATAAATCTTTTATATCAAGAAAAAAGAACTCTTACTTGTCTATTTGTTTGTTTGACATCAACCTGGGTATAGACATTCCCATAGATATGTCGGTTTCACAATTTAAGGTGGAGTTTGAGATTCCTGAGCCTATAACTAAGGTTCTCCATAGGAGAATCTGAGATATGTCCGTACTAGTGATTCTGTATGAAACTCTGAAAGTCTTCATGTTGGAGCCACATGAACTAAAATTTGAAGGGCGGTCTTTGTGTGCTGATACTCTGTCTAGGGAGTATGAGGATCGGGGTATGATCTAACCTATAATGAGGTAATATCGTAACTAATATGGGATGTCGCACCATGGTGATACTATTGATGAAGCAGCGATTGATATGCTCATAAATCAAAGTGTCCCCTCGATTGTTGTTCCAAGTTCATGCCTTGCCTGATGTAAGTGGCTCAATAAGAGCTAATGAAAAAATGCAGTCATTGAACGTCTCCATGTTGCGGTCCCTAGGGGTCTGCCCACCTTGACGTTCACTAGTACTTTGAACATAGTTGAAGTCGCCTGCTAGGTACCAAGGAGACTCAACTAGTGCAGGGTAGTCCCTAATGTACTGAACTAGGTCCGCCCAAAGAGTTTTCCTTTCTTCGGATCTATGTGATGCATAGATGACCGAGAAGGTGAACTCTTGGGTGAGATCTCAAACCGTCATAGTGATATGCTGGGATCCATCGACTAGCAACTTTATGTAGTATGGTGTAGTCCAAAAGAGCCAGATATGATTTATGGGGTTGGAATGAAAATGATCTATACCCAATCGCCTAAGTAAGGGTTGGATATGATGTGATGATATCATGGCCTCAATGAGGCCTACTATACCTAGTTGGTAATGTCTGATAAGGCTAGCTATATAGAATTGAATTTCGAGGTTACCTGTAACACTGACAATTCCATATGATGCTAGGTATCATGATCTAATGAGTGGCCCCACGAGTCCTTGATCTCGTGGAGTAAGGTGAGCATCGAGTGAGTCATGTGGTCCTAGCCTCCGTCTGATATCCCTCCTCTAGGTAGGTAGCCTCAAGATCGGTCTCAGATCCGCCATCCTAGTGGGTACTAGTTGCCTCAAGGTCGGTCTCTGATCCGCCATCTTAATGGGTACTAGTCGTGTGGCCACTAGTATCATGAACACTAGATGAGGAGGATGGGTGCGGTGCTTGACTGTTCGTCAAGCACTGTCCTCTATTGGGGCTCACCCTAGAATCAGTGGGTGGTGGATCAAGTATAGGAACCTGATCTGGGGGGTGTGGTGGGGGAGAGTGGGGGAGGGTATAAGAATCAGAAGGAGGGGCTATGTAAGATGTACGAGTAGAAGGTCTGCTGGGGGTAGGCCCTCCTAGCAGATCCTCGACAGGGATCTGAGGGGGATGGGTAGTGCCCAAGCCTATACCCTCAGAGAAAGGGGTAGACCTCAGTCGGTGGGGACTAAGAGGTGAAGGACTCTTGCTACGTGGGGGAGAGCGAATGGGTGGGGAGGAGCTAGGTGGTGGAGAGGGGTGGTGGGTATGGGGGGTCGGATAGCCTGGGGGGATATAGTATGTGGGGTCTGACTAGTTGAGTCTCTTGTAGTGGGGGATGCTAGCTCTTTGGAAGGGCTAGCTCCTCTCTGTGCAGGTCTCTCAAAGTCTCTCTCATCTAAAACCTCTAAGACCTCGAAGGTGTTTGAGGTCGGGGGTTTTTTCCCCTTGCATAAAGGGGAAGGTATAGTTTCTCCTGTTCTTTTCTTCCCCCCTGTGCGGATGGAAGAAGGGCATTCAGCTGCCGGCTTTCGCCGTGCATGCTGTGTCTCAATCACTGAACTAGGCTTCTCCTGTGCCTTCTGAGGTAAGGAAGGTGGAGCTGTCATAGGGGCAATCGACCTTTGAGCATGAATAACACTCTGAGCATCCTTTCTCATTTCGACGAGGTAATCGTCACATGAGATCGGTACTAAAAAGGCTCGTGTGGTCACCTGTGGTATATCCGCCTTCTGGCGGCAGCTGTTGACAATGTGACCCAAGATAGCACAATGTGTGCAGAAATATGATAATCTCTCGTAAATGATAGGCCAGTAGAGCTCATCATCTCCACAATGTATAACAAGTGTCCTCTGTAGAGGGGCCATTAGGTCCACCTCTATACAAACTCGTGCGTATCTTTGCCGGTTGAACATTTTTACGCCTGGGTCAAGGTATATAAATGTTCCCACCACATTTGTCAAAGACTCAAGTGCCTTTGGCATAAATAAATGGGCAGGTAAGCTAGGGAAATCCACCCATAATGGAACCACATGGGCTGATGTGCTCGGTGCCCTATGTTGGTTTGCGATGTCCATCTATGGGTATGGAGGGTAGACTCTCCCACTGTCCAAGTGGGTCGGCTTTATGCTCGGCGATAGTCCACTTTTAGCTCATAGCGGATGTATATACTGCGACAGTCTTGAGCTCCGATGGAGACTCGGCCCTAGAAATTTCAAGGTGCTAAGTATATCCTCTCTATGTTATCTATGGTTAGTCGTTTCATAGTGAAATGACCAATTAAGGTATATCGGAATGCGGCTGTCATCTATGTGACCTCTTCATGAGTAAAAGCTATAATCCTCATCCATTCATCCTCGCTATAGCGTCACACTGGTACAGTGGTATCATAGTATGGGAATAATATCTGACGCAGTGGTCCTTGTGGTGTGACAGTCTCTGCGGAGGAGGCAGAGGGTCCAGACACTCGTTCTGCCCATGTAGGTGTCTAGTGAACATATTCGGGTTTGGCCTACGGGGCACAGTAGTGTGCAGCCCACTGGGTGTGGATATGGTGTGCCCAAGGGATGTGTTCGGGGCCAGTACAGAGGTCTCAATCAGTGCTGGGATCCTAGCTGGTTCGAGGGGCTCAGTCTGAGAGAGCCTAGGGGGCTCTATAGGTAGGGATAAAACCGGCCCAAGCTGTTGACTCGGGGCAGGCCCAGAGGACATGGCCGAGGGTGGGCGTAAAGGTCAGTGTCCTATCCTCTTTTTGGGCTGTAGGCGCTTGCTCTTAGACTTCTTCAAGATAAGTCTATTGAGGTCAACATGGATCGGTCCAAGACTATCCCGGGTGAGCCCATCTGGGCCTCATTCGGCAGGCCCAAATTTGCTCCTTTGGGCCACCCAGTTCAAGCTCCTTTGGGCCTCCCTTGGTAGGCGCAGGTGGCGTACCTTGAGTAGGCCCAAGTGTGCCCTGGGTGGGCCCATTTGGGCCACCCAGCTCAGGCCGCTTTGGGCTTCCCTCAGTGAGCCCAAATGGGTTGCCTTGGGTAGACCCAGGGTTTGGGCCTACCTGGGCAAGAGCCTTGACCGGGTCAGCCTGAGTCGGCTGCTCGGGCTCGGCCTGGGCCACCTGGGCCTGGGCTGGTGCGTCCTGAACCGGCGCAGCCTCGATGGGCTGGGCCAGCATGGCCTGGGCCAGAGTGGCCTCAGATGGCGCCACCTTGCTGGATGC